GTTCCCGCGGAGAGAAGAGAGAAGTAAACCCACCTACTGTTTACAGGCCTGAAGCTGTCTACTCTGCTGCCATCCACAATCCCATAGTGGTTTGTACATACAGCAGTGAGTCCAATGAAAAACCAAATCTTCTCAGTTTATTAACATACAACTCTAAATAGTAGCAGACAAACAGTGATGCAGAGAGGGAAACTGTTTCTCGAGGTGGAATTCATCATAAACTGGACCAAAGATATGAAGCAGATTTTTCTATTCGTACGTCAAGGAAACAGCACTTTGCATCTACGGCAAGTGACCTGTTTGTTCGTCGGGACCGACTTTGATTACTTTGTCTGCTGTGTCTCTATAAAACAACCCATTCCTCTCCATTAAATATTCTCAATTTGTTCTTTCACTTGTTTACTCATTACTTCCAACAAACAAGTGCCTTGATTGATGCCCTTAATATCATCTGCTGGTGTGTGCTGCCGGTGACACAACCAGTGCAGGTCCCTCTAAGACTGAGCTTCAGAGAACTGTCGATGATACCCCAGAGAAGAGTGCAAATCCAAGTATTAGATTTTTCTTTTGGAAAAAAAATGCCTAAAGTGTTGCTGAATTTCCCACCAATTCAAAGTGCTCCTCTGCAGAATTGTTTAAATAGAGTAGGGGGCAGCGAGGGTGGGGGGAGCAGCAGCAGTGAAAGAAAAAGCCGAGGGAGAGTTTTTAATTAAGCAATCCCTGGTTTTGTACTTAACTACTCATTATTATAAGAAAGTAAGATTGTCCTTAGTTGCGTTGCTTTCTGTCTGTTCTTCACTGTCAGTTTATGGCTGTGCTTTTAAAGTCTTGAGGGCAGAGTACGCAGGAAGTTTGAGTTATTGTTGGTAAACAGACTGTGTACCGTAGCTTTCGCTTTTCCCTGCAAGGGATGCTGTAAAAAATGAGCGCAGTGATACTATATTAACAGAATGTACTAGAACGATCATAAAAATGTGTTTCACCGTTCTCTGAAAGAACAAAATATTTTAGCTTTGGAGACTAGCCGTTGCTCACTGGATATTAAATGGAGAATAGGCTAAGCCAGGGAAATAGTGAATTGTGACTTCACACGTTCAACAGCGACCCTGCGAATGAAGAAGTAGTAGAGAATGGATGGTCATGTACTTGCAGAAAAGCACAACGCCATACACTAGTGATAATCAACTGGTAGCACACGGGCCGAATCCGGCCCGCCAAATCGTCCAACTCGGCCCACGACCTGATTCCAAAATTGTGAGAATGAAAAAGGGAATAAAAATCCCTTTATTTTTTTCTAAAACTATTCTAACTATTTTCTAAAAGTAATGTACTCTGTGCTCACTCAATGAGTGCCTGTTGTAGAAGATGAATCGAACAAATAAATCGAAGACAGTTCTTTAATTCCAGCCCACAGTTCATTCTGTCAGTAAACTCCGCCCCACTGTTCCTTTAACCTACACAGCACATCTCTGTCACATTGACAGACACCTGTACCGTCACGTCAACTTACAGATTTTAATATGCTGCAACTGTGGCGCTGTTACATAAAGACACTCAACTATGCAAGTGAAACCTGCCAGCCCCGGCGTCCCAAACAACCTTCAGCAGCATATGAACTTCAGCCCGGATGAAGAAGTAAACAGCGCAGGGAAATAAAGGCCATTCTTTCTGAGAGTAGTTTTTCCTCTCTCCCTCCTCTCCTGTCCTCCACATGGGAGAGATATTAAGCGTTTGTGTTTTAAGGAGCTGTGAAATACATAAACCATGAGCCACAGGAACGCGAGGCCCTGTGGATATGCAGATGGGCTTACTTTGCTGGTGTCAGGGATGCTTAGAGGGAGCAGGCACAGGAGCAGTTCTCATCTAAAGGATTTTCTTAGGAGTGCAGAGGGACAGGGTGGTGGCAGCGGAGAACACTCGGGAGACTGAGGAACAGGGAGTGGGAGGAGGGAGAAGGGGGAGAGATGAGGATAGAAAAAGAGAGCTGACAGTCCCCTGTGGCCCTGTAACTATATCCAGAGTCTGCTCACTGCATTGAGAGGGGTGGGGGCTCACGCAGCGCCATGCTGATTGGGTAGCCCTGCAGAAGGGCTTGGGGAGCGACAGGAAGTGACCTCAGCCCAATGAGGCAGCTATAGGGGCGAGCGAGCAGACTTCCTCCCTTGGCTCTCACTAAGAAACACACTGCCAGCCTGATTCAACCCCTGTTACACTGCTGAATAAAAACCCAGCCCTGCACAGGCTGCTCATAACAGGCACACAGTCGGATCCACAACTGCTCCCTCTATTCCTTTTTTTCCCATCTGTTTATATTTACTGTTGATTTTTAGTTTGATATATTCACGTTAAAAATACGGTCTTGTTATAACACTGGTCGCTGTACAGCTTATTGGCTGTTCATGTTAGGGATCAACAACATTTCTGTCAATGGTTTAATCAATAATAAAGCCGGTCAATAAGCCACACTGTCAATATATATGGCTTGATCCTGCATTATGTCGACCACAGACAGATATTCGTCTGTGGTCTTTGTAGTTAGTTTCATCCATAGGCAGAACAAAATTAAAAAAAACAAATATAAAGATATCTTACTTTTATATTTGCAAAAACAAAGCTAGGATTATTGATCAGTATTCACCAGGTTTTTTCTTCTTTTTTTACTTAAGATTACCTCTGACTAGATTTTGAAATATAAACAATATTATTACTTTCAATTTTTTTTGTTCACATTTACTGTAGATGGAAACAAATGCGGTGGAGTAAACAGCAGCTTTGGATAATTCAGCTGTCAGTCACGTGTCGACAATTCTTCATCAACTGTCAAGATTGACTGTGTCGGTGAAAAATATAGATTTGACACATATGTGATGACATCTGTTTAAGATCTGAAATATTAAAAATAAATCAGAAAATATAGTGCATTCACTGTCATAAATAAGAAGAGTTAGAGAACTTCTCAGACGTGTCTTCATACAGCGTTACTTCAAAAATCACTGATCTTTTGAGGCCTTTACTTTTTCTTATAAAGAGTCAAAGTCTATAATTAAAAAAACAAACCTGTGGTCACTTCTATTAAATGAACCTATAATGTAGGATCTATTTCAGTAATGTAGATATAAATCATCTTTTCTTAGACTGATCGTCGATTAGCGTTTTGATGTCAACAAAAACACTGACATAATGGCTTTTTATTATTGTTAGACACAAATTTGAATTTTTTGCCATTTCAGTAATGCATCCCCTCAGACACACACACACACACACACACAAGGTCGGTCAGGCAGGTGCAGACTTATCTGCATAATGAAGCAGGCCAGGTCTCCAAAGGGGCAGCGTTGTGCACCAGGGTCAAATGAGGGCTGCACATATGGCAGAGGGACAGATCTGTGAACTCTCCAGCAGGCCTGACCTGAGTGTACACCCACACACAGATAAGCACACTGAACGGTGATCAAAGAGGGCAGTGATCTCTCTCACGCACCTATGTGCAGCACGGCCGTCCTTCCCCTCTTCGCCTGATGCCCGCTGCCACAGACACACATGAATATCTCGTCCGTCACATGCATTATTGCAGAACACACCGTCAACATTTGCTCCTTTGCTGTTTGATCTTTCTCTAGACAGTCAACAGGGAATACAGCTTTTGGTTTTTGTTTTTGTTTTATTGCTCCAAACACCACTTTATATATTTGTGTACATGTGTGGGTGCCTGGCCATATGTTGAAAAAGATTTTAAAAATTGTAAAATCAATTTTTCGCAATAAATTTAAAGCAAATGCAAGCTGGATCTTTTATTGAATATAACGCGAGTCAGTAATATCAGATCTTCTGCATTAGAAAATTGAGTTAATTTTGTAAATTATAACCCTGTTTAGTGGAAAATCTGCTTAAAATTATGGCATTAATGACCAGTAAGGCCTTTTTATGTTTTAGGTTTTGCACAAAAAAGCTTATATTTGTGTGTAGTGTGTTTGTTTTTAGGCGTTTAGGATATTTTAAATTTAGTGGAGGTCTTCAACAGGGGGTTTGTGACCTCCTGGAGGTCCCTGGAGCACTTGCACAGGGACTGATTATTTTGTTGTTTATCTTTAATTAATGCAGGTTTAAAAAACATGTTAAATGGGGATTGACTTGTTATATACCGGGTCTCCTCTGGTCAGTACTGGACTAAAGAGATCAGGGGGTCACCTCCCCATGACCTGGACCCTGTCCCGCTGCAGTAGCTGGGCAGATCGGACTCTGCAGCAGTTTGACAGAGCACTAGTCGAGGGCCAATGGCAGATTGTTCAGGCCGTTTATTGATGCACTGGAGATGGTCAGCCCTCTCAATGTCTGAGTCAGCAGATCTTTGTGTTGCAAATGAGATTGGACCACATTTTGAATGCACGTTGTTTCTGAAGCTGTCAGTGGCCGAAGTAATCAGACGTCAGGGTGAATGTGTTTTACTGTCCTTCAGAAAAACCTGGACTCTGTCCTGTCACGTCACGTCACGTTGTAATAGTGTGGAAATTAACCCGTTGTTAATCAAGTATTTTTAGCATCATGTCTGTTTTCTAAGCAAGTTATGAAATTCTTTGATCTAACAAAGATTTTTGTTTTGTAGTTTATCAGATGTTTTGTTTTTATCCACTGCCCAAAAAGAAAAGATTATTTTCCGGTTTCTCTATTCCACCTTATTTCCAATGTACTGTAATATCAGAATAATAAATTATTTGCATGCAACTTAATAAAAAAGGTGACACTCCGCGTGATTATAATTTCAAGACCTTATCTAAAAATAATGCCCCACCAGGTCATGCAATTTATGCCTGATGGGAGCCGATCATATATTTCATTATATTTTTGTCATGCCCGCAAAGGTCACAGGCAGGAGGTCTGGCCACAATATTAGAGAATTTTTTAAAAAAAAGTAAAATAAAGACCTCTAAAATTCACATCCTGCTCATCTCCTCACTGGTGATTTTCTTTGTGTGTGTGTGTTTTGTCTTTCTTATCAACAGAGGAAGGACTGAACCATGAATGCAAGCTGTGCAGTCAGTCGTTTGACTCACCAGCCAAGCTTCAATGCCACCTAATTGAGCACAGCTTTGAAGGCATGGGAGGGACGTTCAAGTGTCCAGTCTGCTTCACAGGTGTGTATTCCACATGTGATTCCTGCATGCAAATGTGTGTGATGACAACTGTAGAAGTCCAGTACAAGTCCCATGACTTTGAGTCTGTCAATTCTTGCAAAGTGAATCAAAAACAACAACAAAAACACAAAACATTTACTAATATACATTTATAGTTAATGTTCATATCGTCGACCAAACTGATGAAATGTTTTCTGCAAATTCTGGTGCACTTTTTTTCTCACTTCAACTTGTCTGAGGTGCTTACGTTGACACTTTGAAAATATGCAAATGTGATGTGCAAAGATTTTAGTTCCAACCTTTTTTTTTCAGTGTGAAAAAGCAAATGGGTTCTAAATGACTTGCTAAAGGTCAAGCAATAGGGTCGGCGAAAGCTGAGAGTAGTTTGCTGCATGTGGCTTCTTATTTAGTCAAATTGCCTCCAAATCAAGGCCAAAGAAGTGTCGTGAGGTGAGAGGGGGAGAGATCGGGGGGAGACAGTGTTAGCTGGTGGGAGAAGGGGGATGGAGGAGCGGGGAAAAGAAAAGGAGATGTGCTAATTGTGGATGGCAGTGGTGCTGATAGCTGTAATGATCTCATCTGTCTCTGTGTGTGGAGGTGGAAGGACTGGACTCCTCCTGAGAGGATGGTGCCCTCCTTCAGTGTCAACAGGGTTAACTATCTCTATAATGAAATCTGCAAAGTCGTTAACTTCAGCTCTTCACTCTTTCTCCCTCCTCAGCTCTTTACTCTTCCTCACACTTTTAAGTTCCTCAGCTCATTTCCCTTCCTTGTTTCCTGCCCACCGCAGCCCACCCACCAAAAAACTCATTTGTGTCTCCTCCACTTGTTATATCAATTAACATCGTTCCCGCGCATTTGACATTTTGCTCAAATACCTTTTCCCCTCCTAATTTTTACCTCTTCATCAGCTCTTTATTCATTTTCCGACACCCACTCCCTGTTCTCCATTGTCCTCCGCCCGTTGCTGTTGTGGCCTTATCTGTCTCTTTTAGCCAGAGCCTATTGATATATCCCCACCCGCATGCCTTCTTCATCTGAGCCTTCATTTTCCAGCGCCGGCTTTGACAGACAGGTTCCCCCCTCTCCCTCCGCATCCATATCGATCACAGCACATGAGAGAGGGATGCTGGGAGGAAAGAAGGGGAGGAGGGAGTAACAGAGTACACCCTGAGGACAGTGGTCACAGAGCAGACAGACAGATGGGCAGAAGCCTACACTGGTGGTGAAGGCAGTCCTGGATGGGCTGAAAGGCCTCCCTCTGTTGGGGACATGGGGGACAGACAGGCTAACGTCACCTCTTTGAGGGAGAAGAAGGAATTGAGAGGTTTGCAGACAACTGTCCTTGAATATATTGGTATGAGAAGAGAAAGACACTAGTCTGACAACCTGACATAAAATAACAACATTTTATTTTATTTTATATTTATGAATTATTGCTGAAAATTTGTGTAGTGCATTAACAGTTTGAATTATTATTATTGTTATTATTATTGCTATTTTTTGATTAATTTTTGTAAATTTTCTATTGTGCGTTTAATTCTAAACCATAGATATTTGCAGCATGTGTTGAGATTAATAACAAAGACTAAAGCCTGACATTAGCTGATGTGCTTTTCCAATATGATGATGTGATTTATCAATTAGTTGCTCATTTAGTCTTCCACTATAATTACAAATCACATCTTCTTTGTTAACCACAGTCAGCGTGAAATGGTAGAAACAGCATACTGCAAAAGTAACCATTTGCAGTATTCTTTTAGGACAAGGGAATATTCAGGTTACTACAACCAGGCTTCGAACACTGTGGTTTCACCGATGGTCCGTACATTAATGAACATACGTTAGTGATTTGGATTAAATTCCTGTGTAAAGTCAAGTGTTGTGTCAACGTGTCTGTTCCCACTGCACCTCATTCCAACTTCCCTTTAATACAGTGTCTGACTTCTCCCAGCTTCCTCCTCTGCTCCTGTCATAATTACTACAGCCGCTAGCTAACCATAAAACGATGGGTCGTAATAAGCTGCACACACAGGCGACTTCTGGGGTTGTTCTATCAGCAGGACACCTTAATTCACTGTGAGGTCCATTTTGTTTAGTCACTGTGGGAGAGTCGCTGTTGATAACTCAACCTTCCAAAATCTTTGAGATGAAAAGATCTGTGTTCCCGACATTATGAGCCTGATCGTAAAAACTAAAGCCACTTTGATCAGAGCGAGGGGTTGCAGTGACGCTGGAATGTACAGGAATAACAAGGTCGCTCTTTATGATAAAGACCCTCCGTGTTTAGGGGAGGCGTTTTAGTTTGATGTGTCCCCTCACCGTGAGCTGGAACTCAGCGGGAGGCGGGAATGATTTTCATTCTGTGACACACCTGATTACGCTCAGTCCAGACGGGAGAGGACAAACCCAGGCAGAGTGGGGGGGGAACATTTGTCATCGACCGTAGATGAGTGAAGACAAAACTGAGGAGAAAAAGGAGACAAAAGTTGGAGGGAGCGGAGAATTTTGCAAGCGGCAAGTTTGGATGGGAGATGAAAGTGGGGGGAATAGGAGGAGGAGAAGAGAGGGGAGGGTAAATGGAGAGAGGTCCATAAGCCCCAGGATGATGAGAGGGAGGCAGACTCTCTCAGGACAGATTTGACAGGTTTCAGAAGTAGGGGAGCCTGCAGCTAGAAGTGTCTGCCTGCACCCTTAGGAGCTGAGCTGAGGGCTGGTGTGGAAATTGTGATTGGGAATATGTTCTTAAGACAAACAAAACAGAAGAAAGTCAGCCTGATGAAAGTCATACGTGAGTCTGTGTATGCACGATAGACGGAGGAGGAGAGAACACTTATGTCACAGCGTGAAGCACCAAGTTGAAAAACTACAGGATGCTCGGCGATAAAATCCACAAGAGTCTAAAGAAAAACAGTAGTTTAATTAGTGTTTTTTTGTTGTTGTTGTTGTTTTGTTGTGTTACTTCCAACATTCTGCCTGTCTGATGTTTAAATCATGACAGCTAATATTCAAAATGCACTGACTGAGGCTTAGCCCCTGCTTAGTATTAGCCGCCGTTCACGTCTAACGGCGAAATCGACCTGTGTTTGCTGCCTTGGAACACTTCAGCCGCTGCATTGTGAAGTCTTAGATTAAGCAGAGGCAAACACATGTAGGCCAGACAAATAAATAAATGAAAAGGAGAAGGGCGAAAAAATAGGATAAACTTTTTTTTCTCCTCCCTGCACAAACAGCTTAGTATTGGTGCAGTGCAGCCTGCAGAGAGCACCACCCTGCCAAAATAAAGATGAGCTGGGGCCTGTAGTAAAGGAGACGTCTGCCATGGGCGGCCCCTGAGATCTAATCAGAGGGCTTAATATCCCCCACAGTGAGGAGACCTTGGCCCCTCAGCCCCCTCAGCCCTGACACCCCTGACGCCCAGCCCGGCTCAGCTCTGTGCTCGGCTCAGCTCGAGCTCCGTGGCCAAAAAACTCTGCAAACTTTTCTCTCTTTCTCGTTCTCCCTCCCATGCCCACACATTTTCTCCTTCTCTCGGCAGGGAGAGACACAGCGGCCGGTCACTGGTTCTGCTTGGATCTAGTTTTAGATTCTTTTTTCCATCCGATGTCATTCTAACCCTCCGGGGGGGACATGACTCTTTTCCTCTTCTTCTTCCTTATTTCAATAATATTTGTCAAATCTCACTCACACCGGTTAATGTCAAAACTCTGTGGGCTCAATCTGGCTCGACAAACTAACCAATTCAGATTCCAAAATAATAATAATGTTAGACAAAAATTTGATTTTTGTTAACTTTTATTTGAGTGTCCGGCCCCCAAGGTGTGAATGGATTCAGGAAGTCAAGATGAACATTGAAAATGGTGCTAAATGATCGAGACAAGGTAATAACTGCGTTGGAAACATCAAGGTAGACTAATACTACCGTAAACTCTTCCAAAAGTCTCCTCCGTAAACAGGAGCCTGATCTCGTATTTCCTTCTGTACAACATCCTTTTCTGTCTGCGTCCAGATAGCGACACTGTTTATTTGTATACAGTCTATGGAACATTCACAGCAAAATTTGATCAATGTTCACAACACATTAAGCGTAGCTGTTAGCCCAGTCTGACTGGAGCAGATACAGTAAACAGGGAGGAGCAGCTAACTTGACATCTCAGCTGTGTTTAGCCACATTCTACAGTATTTGAAGGCCCCCCCAAGTCTCAAATCCATTTTTATTTTTGCTGTATTGACTTTTTCTGCACCAGCCAAAGACATAATGAAGGCTTCCTGCAGCTGCTGTGACCTGCTTCTGTACAGTATATGCAGATAGAACACGGCTGAAGCCACAAAGCTGCTGTTTGTTGGCGTAATCCTTTGCTTTTCCCGAAAAAAAATAATGTGCTCCTAAACATGGGTTGTAACCTTGACGTACTGTCAGCTGTGATGTGAAGTAAAAACAGCCATCTATCTGCAGTGATATTTCTCTGCTCTGGTCATTCTTTTTAGAAATGAATGGTTTGTTCATATCTGGTCTGGTCCGCTGCCATGCTTCACACCGACAGCTGTCACGCAGGGATTAGCAGTCTGAGAGCGTCGCCTCACTCTGCCAGGGCTCCGTATCTAAACTTTTATTTCCCAGGTCAGGACTGTGACATTCAATGGAACTGAGACTGTCTCCAGTGTACCCCGTTCAATAATTAATAACCTCTCTCTCAGGTGAGCTCAAATTGGGACGCGTTAATGTTGCAGAGCACTGCCACGGAAGAGGGTGGGGCGCTGTGACCCCAAAGCCATCCCCAACACACAGCTCACCTTTTAAGGCGATGCCCCATTCCCCCCTTCTTCCCCTCCGCTGTCTGTAGCCCCATGGTGCATCCATTAGAAGCAAAGTTATTTCCAGTTGTAAGAAATTCAAATGAAGCCTACCCCCCCTCCACCTCCCACCCCCCACAATACTAACTTTTCCAGACCTTTGAGAGTAGCAAGCCATCCTTAAAAGCACAGGGGTCTGGGATAACAAACGGCGTGTTTGAAGTGCTCCTCTGAGAGCGCGGAGACACAGCGACTCGCACACTCCAGATGCACAACTGCAGCCCCCGTTAGCTGTTTTTACACCACGGACCGTGGCTTAATTAAAGCACAAATGTGTGTTGTATGTTTTAAGTGCCAGCGAGTTGTGTGTGTTTCTATGATGGCGAGTATAGTCGGCATGAATAAATAGTGCAACAGCATGAATATTTATATTGTCAATATAATTAGCGATGTAGACTAATGGAGGCCACGTTTTCCACTTGAAGCCATGCCAATTTTTTTTTTTTCTGGTTGTTTATTTTCTGGCTTGTTGTCCCCGCAGTAGTGCTAAATAAGGAGCATCATTATTCCCCAACCGTTCTGCCATGCGCTTAGTCGAGTGTTATGAATGTGGCCACTCCAGTTTTAGGGCTGACGTCTGAATTGTCCTTTGTTTCAGTGACAACGATGTCGACGATGGTGGTGACGCCGTTCGATTGCGTTCAGATATGAAAATCTCATTTTTATTCGTGGTGATCCACGTTTGAATTTGCACTTGATCCCTTCACCCCAGATAACAAGCCCGCGTCTCATTTCTCTCGGTCGACGATTAGAAGCTGGAAATTGAGGCTTAAAAAAACGACTTCCAACCTTTGTAATTCAGTTTCCTCTGTCCTTGTGTCTGCTTTGTGTGCAGTGTTTGTCCAGGCCAACAAGCTCCAGCAGCACATCTTCTCCGCCCACGGCCAGGAGGATAAGATCTACGACTGCTCGCAGTGCCCCCAGAAGTTCTTCTTTCAGACGGAGTTACAGGTGAGCCTCGGGCTGACGGAGCAGGCGGGGGCCCCGGGCGGCAACTGGGCCCGCCGGTCCCTCATGCTGGCTTAACAAACACCAAACACTTTGCTCCAACTATCACCCTCCAATCACAGCCAGGGCAAGAGACTCAGAAGGAATTATTCCAGTCTTCTTCCAAAACTCATTTGTAATACGCAGATATGATTTGATTTGCTTATTAGACCAGCAGAGCCCCAAAATATCTGGAATTAGAGGATTAGTGGAATATGCGTTTTTGAAGAGGTAATTACAGACGGAGGCAGAGGCAAAAACACAGTCGAGTCAATATGACTGCATCTCCACTCTTAATCACAGAGGAGGCCTCGTGGCTAAATATGAGCTCCGTCCTCAGGGAGACCATATCTGCCCTTGAACAAAGTTAGTAGTTGGACTTATGAACTCGCCACGTTAGAGAGATAATCCATTTTCCAGCAATCTTTCTCTGCGGTCCTTGGAGGACCTGGAAAAATGAAACAGGCCTTATTATATTATTTCACTGTGGTGGTGTTTTCAAGCAGCTCTGTTTTGTTTAGGGGATTCTCCACCGTAAACATGGCACACTCCTCATATCCAGATCTTTTTCGATTACCTTTTGAAGTCAGGTCATTAATACATGTGCTGTATAACCACTGTGTTTATTTTAAAGACTAAAATTGTGCTTTAATTGCCATCAGCACGGAGAGAATCTGGCAGCTCCCGACCACGTCCTCCGAGTGAAATTTAGGATTAGCAGAAATACGGTATTAACATGTACTGTAGCTACAGGGAGCATCCAGGGCCTCGATCGATCTGCTCCGATTTTCATATTGAAATTCAGCTTGTAAACACAGAGGTGTGTGTATGCCAGGAGGAAGGTTAACGTGATTATTATCATCTGGTCATTTGAGCATCACAACCATGAATAAATAACATCCCGATCCGCAAACACACGACTCGACCAGACGGGAAGGTATTTAACAGACATCGCACCGCAACTCGGAGTCTTATCATCGATGGCAGGGCCTTCTATTTATCACGTTTCCATCCCTCGTTGGTACGAACGCTCTCCGTGAAGCAAGAGTTTGTTGCTACCTGTAAACAAACTCAAATAACCCGGGGATGTTTTTCTGCCTTTTTTTTTTTTGGTTTGACATTTTCCGAAATGAAGTGATCTCCTCCTCCCGAAGGTGGTGTTTCATGCATGATTATATTGTTTTACACAGTGTGCGTGGAGACAAGAGCACAACATGAAAGACCTATGGCACTTTGTTGTGAAACAGGGGGTTAAGAGCGAGGAGCGGGAATCAGCTCGGGGGATGAGACAATCGTTATGCTCAACCTGTGCCATGCTCCGATCGCAGTCCCGTGTGAGGACACGTTTACGCTCTTGTGGAGACAAAAACATATGCTGTTCTCCATAACTTTTCTATAAAAAAATACAAACAAAAAAAAACAAACTCTCAATAGTTTGAACGTGATGTGTATTTTCAGTCCAAAAAAGCTGACGACATGCAAGGTGTTAATTTAAAAATCTGGCAGCTTAACTGCAATCAAATGCATTTTAATCTTTTTTGTCAACAAAATACAAAGCATACGAGAGTGACTTATGAACTCGCCACGTTAGAGAGATAATCCATTTTCCAGCAATCTTTCTCTGCGGTCCTTGGAGGACCTGGAAAAATGAAACAGGCCTTATTATATTATTTCACTGTGGTGGTGTTTTCAAGCAGCTCTGTTTTGTTTAGGGGATTCTCCACCGTAAACATGGCACACTCCTCATATCCAGATCTTTTTCGATTACCTTTTGAAGTCAGGTCATTAATACATGTGCTGTATAACCACTGTGTTTATTTTAAAGACTAAAATTGTGCTTTAATTGCCATCAGCACGGAGAGAATCTGGCAGCTCCCGACCACGTCCTCCGAGTGAAATTTAGGATTAGCAGAAATACGGTATTAACATGTACTGTAGCTACAGGGAGCATCCAGGGCCTCGATCGATCTGCTCCGATTTTCATATTGAAATTCAGCTTGTAAACACAGAGGTGTGTGTATGCCAGGAGGAAGGTTAACGTGATTATTATCATCTGGTCATTTGAGCATCACAACCATGAATAAATAACATCCCGATCCGCAAACACACGACTCGACCAGACGGGAAGGTATTTAACAGACATCGCACCGCAACTCGGAGTCTTATCATCGATGGCAGGGCCTTCTATTTATCACGTTTCCATCCCTCGTTGGTACGAACGCTCTCCGTGAAGCAAGAGTTTGTTGCTACCTGTAAACAAACTCAAATAACCCGGGGATGTTTTTCTGCCTTTTTTTTTTTTGGTTTGACATTTTCCGAAATGAAGTGATCTCCTCCTCCCGAAGGTGGTGTTTCATGCATGATTATATTGTTTTACACAGTGTGCGTGGAGACAAGAGCACAACATGAAAGACCTATGGCACTTTGTTGTGAAACAGGGGGTTAAGAGCGAGGAGCGGGAATCAGCTCGGGGGATGAGACAATCGTTATGCTCAACCTGTGCCATGCTCCGATCGCAGTCCCGTGTGAGGACACGTTTACGCTCTTGTGGAGACAAAAACATATGCTGTTCTCCATAACTTTTCTATAAAAAAATACAAACAAAAAAAAACAAACTCTCAATAGTTTGAACGTGATGTGTATTTTCAGTCCAAAAAAGCTGACGACATGCAAGGTGTTAATTTAAAAATCTGGCAGCTTAACTGCAATCAAATGCATTTTAATCTTTTTTGTCAACAAAATACAAAGCATACGAGAGTGGTTCAGGATGAGGAAATAAAAAAGGTGTATAAAATTAAATATTCAGCGTGTCAGGCACTTGATGATATATCTACATATTTTTTGTCAAATATGAAGAAGAACAAATACAGGATTTTGGAGGTAATTTGCAAAAAAAAATCCTTACACTTTTTTCTTTGTGAACTCAAAAATGAAACTTTTTAAATGCACTTATTCGTTTTTTGTTTTTTTGCTGTAAAAAGCACAAGAGTTTCTTTGCTTTGGTGGTTGCTGAGGTCTGATTCCTTTCTTAGTCATCGACCACATATATTTTTAATGTAACACAAATCTATACTGCAAGCAGACGAGTCGGGCACATGACTATGATCTGTGCAGAATAAGGCCCAGAACTTTCCTGCCAGTGTCAAAACCAACTCCCAAAAAGTTTAAAGTTTGTGTGTTGTACACAGAGATCTTTACTTCAGGTTAAAACTTTTGAACTTTGTTGTTAAATTTGCCTTTTTCCACTCTCTATAGTTTTAAGCCTCCAACAGAATGGGGGGTTGTTGTTTTTTAGTTGTTTTTTTGCAGTTGCTATTTCCCATGCAGCACACTTCAAACTGTCTCACTGACACAGGGCAGTCGTTTGTCAGTCTGTCTGAAGTGGAGCTGTCTTCCAGCAGTGAGAGAAGTGGAAGCTCTCTCTCTTTGCTGGGTCTTGAGTTTGGAGTTCCTCCCCGTTTCTCCCTGACACTCTGGTCCAGTCCTCGGCTGCCTGGGCTCCTCATCTCTCACAGTAGTCGGAGGGGTCAAAGGGCCAGTGCAAGCTGGGAGAAGGAGCAGCGAGGGGGGGAGCTGCCACGGCAGGTAAAGGGAAGCAGGAAAGATATTTTATTAATTTGCTGCAGAGATCCTGAAACAGACCAAAGGCTGTGACAGGTATCCAGTGCACGGCTCCACATTCTCCCCCACCGCCTCCCCCCATGAACTCTACCCTGCGAGGGGCTAGCCAATTTTCGCCAGCCTGTCGAGATGGATGATCGGAGAGCATTCGTCTAATCAGCCCTCCGAGGACCCCCTGCCCGGCTGCCCGCCCCCCTCAGACCAGCCAGATTGACTGACTCCTGGGCCTGTGTGCCCCAGAATCCGGATTCCAAAGGAGAATAATCTCCTTGTCTCTCTCTCTCTCTCTCTCTCTTTTACTCTCCCTCCATTTCTCCCTTCGCTCTTCCTTTCACGGAGACAAAAAAATAAGCTCTGAGATGCATAGACCACCCCTCCCCTCCACAGTCTCCAGAGGACACCTCTTCACCACACACACACACCCACCCACACGGCCTCCACCCTGCACTCCCCTTCCCCTCACCCCATTAAAATATGGAGTAGAGCCTAGATATTTCATGAGGTGCTGATGGGAAGGGCGAGGATGCTGCTGTGCAGCTTCTCCCTTTGCTCTTCCTTTCACGGAGACAAAAAAATAAGCTCTGAGATGCATAGACCACCATTTCCCTCCACAGTCTCCAGAGGACACCTCTTCACCACACACACACACCCACCCACACGGCCTCCACCCTGCACTCCCCTTCCCCTCACCCCATTAAAATATGGAGTAGAGCCTAGATATTTCATGAGGTGCTGATGGGAAGGGTGAGGATGCTGCTGTGCAGCACTTTCTCTCACCCGAACTGCTGTCCACCTCCAGAGCTTCTGTGAAGTGTGCCGTGTTCACACCCCCAAACTTACCTTTCATTTCAGAATTTCATTTCATTTTGTTAGATTGTCCAAAGCAGTTAAGGACTGGACCATGCAGTGGAGTCCAGTCGACCTGTAGATTAGAACAGAAGCATTGATTCAAAACATGGAAGAACTACATTTTGTCTTTATTTTGTATTATAATACTAAAATTGTAATATCTTTCAATCTACCAGTGGATTGCAAAGGGAGAGATTATAGAGTTATTAAAATGAGGAAAAAAATTATTGTATAGTGAACATGTAGTGTGAGGATTTAGTCATATTTTACCATAAAACTATGTGAATTTGGTCAGTAGTAACATATAATCTATATGAAAAGAATTATATGAGTAAATATATATATATGGCTTTCAATGTGGCTACATCACTTTAGCCTGGTCAAACCAAAAAAAGTGTGGACACCCCTGGTCAAGTTAGAGTGCCCTCTATTCTGGAAAACATCCTTAAAACCACTGTTAAATGTGGAGAATTAAACAACAGCTTCAGACACAG